GTTGTCCACGTACACCTCCGTTATTTTCCTGATCTGTGATTGGAACATCTTGTTCACCAGTCATTGATAAGTTGTTCATGCTTTCTTCAACCCGAAGGGCATGACCCTGTAGCAATAGGTCCCCTTTGGAGTGATGAACGATGTCTTCTCCTGATCTGGGGGGTGCATGATTATCTGGTTATACCCATAATATGCATCCAGGAAGGTGAGTAATTCAAGTCCTGCGGTGGCGTCAATGAGGAGGTCAATTCATGATAGTGGGTAGCTATCTTTCTGGCACGCCTTGTTGAGCTCTGTAAAGTCGACATAAGGTGCTACTTTTCATTAGCTTTAGTCACCATCACCACATTTGAGAGCCACTCAGGATAGGCTACTTCTTTGGCCGTTTCGTTCTCTATCAGCATTCCCACCTCTTTTTCCATCGCTTGGGCTCTTTCAGTGGAAGCACCCCTTAGCTTTTGGCGAACAGGCTTGTGTTGAGGGTCGACATTGAGGCGGTGGCTGGCAACCTCAGGGTCAATGGCCTCGAGGTCTGCATGTGACCTTGCAAAAACGTCCATGTTGAGCCTCAAAAAGTCTATTAATCGGCGGACCAAATCTTTAGAAAGGGAAGAGTCAATGCATACTCTTCTGTCTGGATGTTCCTCATCTAAGACCACTAGGGTGAGCTCCTCTACTGGTTCTCTTCTTTCTATGGTGGCGTCATCCCTTGGGTCAAGGACCTCCACTTGCTGGGCCTCTTGTGGCTTCCTTGTCTTTATGGAGGAGACGTAGCATTTTCTTGCAACTACTTGATCTCCTCGTACCTTTTCGACTCTGTTCAAGGTTGAAAAACAGAGGATGAGATGGTAAGTGGAGGGCATAATTCTTAGGGTGTTGAGAGCTGGTCGTCCTAGGATAATGTTGTAAGTTGAAGGACAATCTATCACAAGGAAGTTGACCATGATCGTGGAGCTTCGGGGTGCCACTCCAATAGTGACAGGTAAGGTGATGGACTCTAGAGGATATACCTTCTCCCCTGAGAACCCAATGAGGGGCGACCTGATGGGCTGCAATCTTTCTCTGTTCAAGTTGAGCTTGTCATAAGCCTCTGCGAACAAGATATCCGTAGAGCTACCGCTGTCCACGAGAATCCTTCACACCTGGAAGTTGGCGACGATCATGGTGAGCATCAGAAGGTTGTCATAAGGGTGTTGGATTTCTTCTAAATCCTTGTCTGAAAAGGATATGGCCTCGTTGTTGCCATGCTTGGGCGCCTTAGATAGGCATAATTTGTCGGGGTGCCTAACTTTCCTGGCATGAGCCTTCATAGTGGAGAGGGATTCTCCTCCCCCTACAAGCCCTCCGAGACGGTGTGAATTTTCCCTATGGACTGTTGGTCTTTCTAATTACGAGGTGGTGCCTACACTTGTCCTCTACCAGCAATATATTGGCATAGGTGACCCTGTTGGATGAGCTCCTTAATCTATCCATAGATGACCATGTTGGATGAGCTCCTTAATCTATCTTTTGAGGTCATAGTAGTCGTCGGTGTCATAGCCATGGTCGTGATGAATATGGCAATATTTGTTTGGGTTCCTACGATTTAGGGGAGACTTCATTCTCCCAGACCACTTTACTGTGGGGTCATCTTGGATCTACAATAAGATGTACCCAACAGCGGCATTAAGGGGAGTGAAGGCCTGCCGATCTCTCTGGGGAGCAAGACCAAGCCAGTCTTTGGTAGGTACCTTCTCTGTCCTGCCACGTTTGTTACTACTCTCCTGCTTGTCATCCCTGTCTATTTCTTTTCTTTTCTCCCTAGTTCTGGAGGACTCACCTCGTCTGACCCTTGTAATGTCCTCAGCATTCATGTATTTCTGGGCCTTTGCTAGCAGCTCTAGCATGCTCTTTGGTGGGCGCTTCATCACTAAGAAGAGAAACCTTGATGACCAGAGGCCTCCTAGAAAGGCAGTCATGCTGATCTTATCATCGGGCTCTTCGACCTGAAGAACCTCCTCGTTAAAATGAGTGAGGTAGCTCCTCAGGCTCTCGTCTCGATCTTGTTTTATGCTAAGCAGATGGGTGACTGGATTCTGGTGGCGGCGTCCTCCAATAAAGTGCGACACGAAGGACTTGCTCAGCTCAGCAAAGCAAATGAGCCAATGGAGGCTGGGGAGAGCTTGGTGAACCATTTCCTAGTGGATCCCTTCAAGTTGGTTAGGAACGCTATGTACATGATTTCTTCAGGGACGTTGTGTAGCTGCATCAAGGTCTTAAAAGTTTCGAGGTGGTCTAGTGGATTCTTCGTACCGTCAAAGGTTTCGACGACTGGCATTTTGAATTAATGAGGAAGTGGGTAGTTCGTCACGTCAGGTTTGAAGGGTGTATTGGTTCAACTTACGAGGTAGTCCACTGTTTCAAGTCCCTATGCTTTCATGGCGTTAAAAATGTCACCCAATTGATTTTGCACCTCCTTAATTTTTTTTCATCCTAGTGATTGGGATGAGGTCCTCTGGACAGGGAAGTTGTGCAGCTGCATCAAGGTCTTAAAAGTTTCGAGGTAGTCCAGTGGATCCTTCATACCGTCAAAGGTTTCAACGGATGTCATCTTGAATTTCTGAGGAAGTGGGTAGTTCATCACGTCAGGTTTGAAGGGTGTATTGGTTCAACTTATGAGGTAGTTCACTGTCTTGGGTCTTTGTGCCTTTATGGCATTGAAGACGTCACCCAATTGATTTTGCACTTCCTTAATTTTTTCATCCTAGTGATTGGGAGGAGGTCCTCTGAAATTATCATGGAAATAGCTTCCATGCTCCATGTTTTGGTTTTCACCCTCATCCTATTAGAAATGAGAGTCTCCACCATGGGGAGCAGGAGCTGGAGGTCCCTCATGGTGGGCTCCCTTGTGTGGGACACCCAAGGGTACTCCCAAAGGTGGATGATGGGGAACGTCTAGGTAGGGAGCTCCTTGATGGCCACAACATGAAGCTCCTCTAACTTGAGGTCTAGGTTGCACTCCTCCTTATTGTCAGAGCATCAGTTACAGAATATACTGGTTCTGGGCTATAAGCTGTTGCATGGTCTCCTGCATCTGTTGTGCATTTGGGACAGGATTGGGTGGAGGAGCAACCTCTTCGTCTTGTGGTGGAATGTCTTCAGGCTGATTCATAGATCTGGTGGTGATCTGATTCAACAAAAAAAGTGTTTAGGTGAGAATTTTGTTGTTCCCACAGATAGCGTCAAACTGATGATACACACCACCTGTCAAGTAAATAGTATAAAATGCAGTCAAATAAGTTGAGGGAGAGAGAAGACAATATTTATAGTGGTTCGGTTAACGTAACCTATGTTCACTTTGAATGCCAAGGGTCGCTGGTATTTTATTAACTCCGGTGTGCATGGAGAGTAAAGAATTACAAGCTTTGAGAAGGGGAGGAGAGAATTATACTCGAATGAGTGTGATGCCCCCCAAGTGTTGGTGGGACTTACAATTTATAGTCGCTCAGTATAGTAATTGAATAACTAGTCTGGCGGTCATAACAAATTAGAGCAACTTAATAGTCATAACGGATTGGGGCAACTTAATAATAATTAAACAGCTTGACAACCTCTTCTCAACTGGCAAGGCAGTTATTGTGCTTGAGATTCGATTTTCAAGACGGCAAGGGTGAGGCTCCTGAATGCTTCCTTGGTGACGTAGCTACCTGATGAGCTTGTCCAGGTTGACCACGTTGAGCTGGACTTAGTGGATCTCTTGGAGTTGGGCCTTTAACTCGGATTGGGCTTATAGCATGAGTTGGGCCTTTAGGCTTGGCCCATTAAGTTCCATTACTAATCTAACGACTTCAGAGTGCAATATTGAATAGAGATTAAATGATGCAACATAACATGATTGGTAGTAAAAAATTAAATAGGGTTATAAGTAGTACAGATATAGATGTTTATGAATGTAATTAATTTTAGAAGATCAAGGAATATGAGAAGTTTATGTATTTAATTTAAGAAGTTAAAAAGGTATGAGGGATATAATGGGCTTTATTATATTAATTAAGGGTAAAAGAGGAAATCAAAAATTTTCATTGTTAGCCACTTCTATAAGTAATATAGATAAATATAATATATATATATATATATATATATATGAATGTATAATATATTGTATTATGCATTTTATATGCATAGATATTGATGGTGTAATCAGGCATGTGAACAGAAAGTGCAGTGTAGAGAGATTTTTAGGGGAGTTAAAATAATTAACAAAATGAAAGTATAGCGGTTCACCGAGCTCAGGAGTTCGGCTAATCCACTCTTGAAGGGAGTCTCTTGCTCCTTGGATCTATCTATTATTCTCAGCTGTAAGTTATAGAGTATTGCTTGTACAATCTGGCCCTCACCCTTGATGGAGGCCTCTTTTAGTATTTATAGTTCAACTCCTATATCTAAGGGATCTACAGTGAGGTCCTTGCCCCTCATCTACGGATATTCCCTTGATTTGAGGGAGAAGATCTCAGGTGGTTGAGAGTTTAAACTTGAAAAAAAGTTTAAACTTGATTTGTTAACAAATTAGCCTGATTCGTACCGAATTGAGCTAAGCAAAACTGTAAGTCCACTCATTTAATCAAACAAGTTAAATTGAGCTGAGGCCAAACTTTGAAAATGTGAGAAGTCAAAGCTTGAACAGAATTTGTAAAACAAGTCACAAACCCAAGTCGAGCTCGAAAATTCTTCAGGGGCGAACTAAGTTGAGCCTGAACAATTTGGTGCTTGGCTAGGATGGTCTCGATCTATTCGCGGCCCTGCTTTTTTATTTTAATGATAATGAAATGCACCGGCCTCCCGTGCTACTAGTGTTCCTATGGATAATTTTTTTCAATGGACTAAAAATACTACTAATTAACAGTGTCAACTAATGTATATAATCAATCAAAAATTGAACATTTTCAATAGTTGTTGTCATTAATCACTTTGTTAGAATTATTTTAAAAAAAAAAAACCTATTTGTCTGACGTGACAATTTTTCATTGGGTAACACACAAACATCTCTTAAAGATCTCGAGAAAAAGAGAAAAAAGAAGTAAAAAAACCTTGTGCATGGATTATAATAATAGTACACTAACTAAATATTGGAATCAAATTACATAACAGTTGACTTAAGTTTCTTTATTTCCAGCATAATGGTCTTCTGCTACCTTGTACATGGATTTCACAAAGAAAGTTGGCAGAAATTTATTACACATTATTTTAGAAGATCACTCGCCATTTCCAAATATATATTATAGGTATACCGTACACAAGCAGTTGGGTTATTTGACGGTATATCCAAATTTGAGGGCATATGTGACAAGCTTATTCATCTCATCCTCAGTGATGAATCCATCTCCATTAGTGTCTGCAACTTGGAGACCACGCCAAGCTTTCCATCCAGGAATGTATGCCCCCAGGTACTTAAAGGCTTCTTTCAACTCTTCTTTGCTCAATTTACCATCGCCATTTTTATCGTACTTTTCAAAAACTTTTCTCAGCTGCTCTGCTTCCAAGGGCTCTTCTGGATCCTTGTGCTCCCAACAGCCTATGGGTTGGAACGGCCTGAAGAGAGGCATGCTGGGGGAGAGAGAGAGAGAAAAAGACTTGAAATAGGGTAATATAAGGCCACAAGAACAAGTGGAAGACTAGTACGCTCTATGATCAAACTAGACATGCAAGCTTGCATTTATAGACGAAGACTACACGTTATGGAAAGAAGTATCACAAGGAATTAAAGTTATACCATTTGATGCGACTATAAAATTGTGTGGCGATGACATGGTATTATATTCAATATTTACTCGTTCAATTATAAACTTTATGATTTGTGTTATTCATCGTCAATCATAATATTTCATAAACAACTTCATCTTTAAAATGAATATTTTTGTTACCTATATGCATTTATATAACACTATTTATTTCCTGTACCTCTCGTATTATTCTTATTCTGTCTTGAAAGATCTATCTGTTGTTATTCTTTATATTTACCTTGGCCCCACTAATATCATATATTTCTAAAATAACCCTAACAATCTAAAATATATTTTTCCCAACTCCCAGTCCGCCCAACCTAGGTTTTTTTTTTTAATAATTGGTAGTCTGGCATTTTTATCAAGTTATTCTTGGTTTTTTTGTGATCTTTTTCCCTCGAGTCAGGTTTTCATCATCCTCCCTTTCATTTTTGGAGTTTTCATTTTTCTCTCATTCAATACTTGGGTCTGGAAAATTTCTTTCAATCCAATTTAAAGTAATACTAGGTTTTTTTATCTCGAGTTTTCAGACCTGTTGTGGATTTACTAATGTGGGTTTAACCCAAATTATTGCTCAACTTTAATATAATAATTGGAGTTTTACCTCAAATCGAAATCAAATTCCAACTCATTTTATACACAAATTGAACTCGGATGTCAACTTAAAAATTGAATCCGCATTTTAGTCCTTGTTTTATAACCTGAATTAAGAATCTAATTCAAGACACTAAAAAGAATTTAGGGCTTTTTGTACCGTGCAACCTAAAAAATGTCTTGATTTTCACTTTGTACCCCAAAAAATTATTTTTCTCACATTGCATCCTGAATATCATAAATTGATTCTAACGTTACCCTCAAACTAACATCTATTTTATATTCCGTTAAAAATTGATGCACATATCATTCACGTTTGTTGCTTTTGAGCAAAAATATAAACTCACAATTCATATCATCGAGTGAAATGCACAACAATTTTTAACGGAATCTGAGACAGATGTTAGTTCGACGGTCACATTTGAACCAATTTATTACATTCAAGATGTAATATGAAAAAAATAATCTACCGGGGTGCACAGTGCAAAAAACCCAAAATTTTAAATAGAAATTCCATTCAAATGATGTCATGTGACCGTCTAAAAAAGACACCAATGCATCAGCCATGTATCATCAACTAGTAGTCGTCACTGGTTGGCATTATCAACCTCTTAGAATGAGAATCAACGTAGTTCACGAGCCCACCACTGCAAAGAAGTTATTCTGATCACTCATCACCAGAATTTCCCAATACAAGTTGCATAACTCCAAGACTTGCTGAGGTTATCAGAATTTCTGTGAGGAAAAGCAAGCAAATCCATACATGTGCTAGTTATTGCCTCCATGGCTAGGGCTGTGAAATGATCCGAACAGTTCGAGGGTCTTTTGCTTTCCAAACAATAAAATGAATCTATTTTGATCAGATTCTCAAACACTTCTTGTGACTCAACTAAGGTAGTCTTCGCTTGTCTCGTTCAAGTTTCTGTTTGTTCAAATAACTATTATCCAAACGATGAATAATTTTAGGCTTATTCTCAAATAACTTTGACCATATTCACTTCCCTCTCCTCTCCCTATATTCTCTATATAAAATTGGATTAATTGCACTGGAAGTCCTCAAAGTATGAAGTTTATCTCATTTTAGTCCCCAATATTTCAATTGTATCATTTTAGTCCCTGAAATATTAAATATGTTTCTATATGGTCCTTCAAGCAGACAACATCTAGATTGTTAGCAATTTTTTATCATCAACTTGTCACGTAATACTTAAATATGGACAAGTAATAATTTTGATAGCTCTTAAACAAAATTTGGGTAGCTTTTGATATAAAAAAAGTGTAATATGGGTAACTTTTGACTAAAATTTTGATAGCTCATGATCAAAACTGTGAAATTTAGATAACTATTTAACTAAAATTTGAGTAGAAATTTGATCAAAAATTATTCAAATTATTTTTTATCCATATTTAAGTATCATGTAATAAATTTATGATAAAAAATCGTTAACAATCTAAACGCTATCTGTTTTAGGGACCATATAGAAACATATTCAATACTTTAAGAACTAAAATAATGCAATTGAAATGCTGGGGACCAAAATGAGACAAACTATATATTTTGGGGACCTACAGTGCAATTAACCCTATAAATTTTTAAAAACTAATTTGGAATCATGTACAGTTTAACTTTGATGAGTGATATATAAGTTTTTGGGAATTTTTATCGAGAAAGTGATTGCTTTTGGATTGAGTCTTAAGTTCAGAGTTTTATTTCTTATAAAGTTTTGTTAAAAAAAAATTAAGCCTCTACCTCAATTTGGCGATGCACTTGAGTGAGAATCTACATTGAACATTCAACCTCAGCCAATTAAGTCGAGCCTGAATATACTTAAACTCGACATGTTCAACTCGATTAATATCTATAGCTTTTGTAATTACATGAGATTTTCCAAATTTCCCTTGTTATTATATATCAACATGCATGATGCTATAGGTTGCATGTGAAACCACATCTTAGAAAGTAGGGTCTCTCATTTCTAAATCACATGTTTAAGCATCTTCTCAAAAGCACATAGATAAAGGTGAGGAATGTTGAAGAAGAAAGCACAAGGACGGCCGGTTCAACAACAACCAATTGTTGTAACAATGGAATCCTGTACCTATGGAGCCTTTTAACCCACTTGTATAACAAGAATTGCAAGTTTCAATTATCGAAAGCCAGATTTAATTCCCTTTTGGTAGGGTGGTCCGATTCATGGTCATGTTCTATTCACGTAAGATATGATCGAGATTGATGCGCTAAGATGGTAAGTATAATCGTTACCAAAATTGTTGAAGCAGGCTACAAATTTGAGGGAAGAGAGAGAAAGAGTAAAAACGAGGCAGTCAAACAAAAACAGTTGGGAATGTATGTCGTACTTACATCTTTTTAATAAAACATTGGTTTATCATTATAGAAAGAATAATCAACTATTAAAACTTTTAAATAATGTTATCTAACAAAGGATAAAACACTTACCGAGGGTGAAGAGAAGCCTAAAAGAAGGCATCCTCAAAGAGAAGGACATGAGAAATCAAGTTTTTTTCACAAGAAATATTGACCCTTTGACATCTTGGTTGGCATAATCTTGAGAGAATTAGGGTGGCTAACTAGCTTACGCCAAGTTGATTGTCTTATTTAAATCTTTGATGGTCAGAATTTTGATGTTTAGAAATTATTCGACAGCAAAACAATTTCAATTTCAGGAGCTAACTGCGGTAATTTGAGAATGGTACATAAAGGAAAATATAATGCATTTGGTTCAAGATTAATCCTTTTGCACTCCTTGGATGGGAAGCATTTAATAGGATATTGAAATAGAAATTACCCTACCTATTTTGATATTCATAAAATTTTAAAATTTTCAATCTATTTCTTGTGCATTGTTTGAGATGAGATTTTAGTGGGTATGGATGACCACTTGACCCACCCTGTGTTAAAAAATAGCCTTGGTTAGCCAGAATATCACATTTTTCACCAAAAAAGAAAGAAGATAATGAGGAATAAAGGAAACTCAATTCATAATCTTTCCTTGTTGGAACCTCTACTTTCATATTGTTTAGTTACATCCTATGAAAAGGAAAATAATTGGAATATAATCAAAATCGTATTGTTGAAATATCTATTGAATTTGACACAATGCAGTGAGAATTTTATCCAAAGGTCTTGTCACCTTAGATTCCCGAGTTAATTAAGATCACCGCCATTACATTATTATTGCTCGTCCTAAATGGTAGATTATGAGTTTTGTATTGGTGTGAGACTCATCTATATATATATGGAAGAACATGTCATCATTGAGTTAATTAGTAAAATTGAAGATCCAGTACATCAGAAAATTAAAAAAATTTATTTGCTAAAAAAGACATAAAATAATCTTTTAATTAAAAATAATTAATTAGTTTTAACACAGCAATAGAACGATTCAGTAAGGAGAAAAAGAAAGAAATCACCTTACAGGATCTTCAACATGAAGTTAATAAGTTAAAATCTGAAATAAAGATTTAAAAGTTCAAGACAAAAAACTTGCAGAACTTTTAAATTTTTTATCAACACATAGTATCGACACTTCAAAGGATTTTGATCCTAAAAATGAGCCACAGGTTAATGAACAATTTGAGACAAAATTTCATGATGAAACACATAAATTCTTAATAAAATTAGTCACCTATCCATGGTTGCCAATAGTTATGTTTCCAACCTTGACCACACTGAACCAAAATGTCACCTATCCATGGTTGTCAATAGTTATGTTTCCAACCCTGACCACACTGAACCAGAATTAGTTGATATGAACACCTCTAGATTCATAGGAGTTTTAAGGAATTGGTGGGATAACTACCTTAACCAAGAATCAAGAGACAATATCAAATATGATGTTGTTCTTGATGATGAAGGAATACCAATCTTTAATAAAAGAATTGGTAAAGCAAAAGATGATGGGATTAATACTCTCATCTTAACAATAATCAAACATTTTGTTGGAACACCCAGTAATATTGAAGCTAGGATCCATGATCAGCTTAGTAACCTTAGGTGCCCATCACTTAGTGATTTCAGATGGTACAAAGATGTATTCTTACCAATGCGGAATTAAAAAGAGGCGTACCAAGATTAGTAATTAATTATAAGCCTTTAAATTCTGTATTGGAATGGATCAGATACCCAATTCCAAACAAATAGGATTTAATTAAAAAACTTAGTAAATCAGTAATCTTTTCAAAATTTGATTTAAAAAGTGGTTACTGACAAATCCAAATCTATTCAGAAGATAGGTATAAGACTGCATTTACCGCTCCCTTTGGTCATTATGAATGGAATGTAATGCCCTTTGGATTGAAAAATGCACTTAGTAAATTTCAAAACATAATGAATGAAATTTTTAACTCCATTAGTCATTTTTCTATAGTCTATATAGATGATATCCTCATCTTCTCTAGATC